TTTAGAACGTTCAATTAATTTACATATTTCACGTTCAGACTTGCCAGGGCCCTTGAATTTCCAGCTCAGATAATTGTTTTTCACGAAGCATATTGAATTTTCTTATAAAAACAAATCAATTTAATTCTAATTTTCTTTATAATATTATTGTTTGCGTTTTCTGCAATGCAAAGTTGCACTTTACATATGATTTTCAAATAAAAAATAAAAAGTATTTTGAAAACTCAAACTATTTTGAAAACAGAAATAGGTGGTCTTATACTTATGTAACACCCAGATTTCAAAAAATTGTTTTTGTGTGAAACTAGCTAAATATTTTCCCTCTTTTATTTATATGATAAAATATAACTTATTTCAGTTGCTTCGCTATTTTAAAATTATTGATATTTATGCAGTGTACCCTTAAAATGAGTGATATTTGGGGTGGTCTTATAATTTTGTATCATACAGAAAGCTTCCTTTCATTTAGTGTTCAAGCAACTGGTATTACATGTGAACATTTTTATTTATTAAGCTTTCTTAAATATATTCAACCCAAGTAATTAGAAAATGAGGTTTATCATTATTTTATTACTTTAAGCCTTCACACAGCTATAAAATTTATATATCATTAATAATAAGATAGATAAAAAAATTTAACGCTGTTTACAAGGTAGGTGGTATCTTTTGTTTTTGTGAAGCCTAATTTCAGAAAGTATATTCGAAAGTTACTAAAACGCAATGTCATCATGACCTTTAATTATAAATATTATTAGTAATTTTTCCTTTTTTTAAATTTTTTTTTCTCATTTAAAAAAACAAAAACATTTTAGCTTTTGAAATGCTAAATATAGTTCACTATAAAGCATTATCAAATATTTCTTCCATATTTGTAGTAACAAAAACTAAAATTGAGATTGAAAATTCAAATTAATTAAGATATAAAATACCGTCTTCATTATTTCATGTCCATTAGCTGATCTTTAAGATCAAGAGAAGCGCTAAAAAGGAGGCTTTTATTAAAAATTTTGCCTAAACGTTTTTTGGCTAAAGTCTCATTAAAAGTGAAAGTCTACATAGTTACCTGAAAAAAGTATCAAGTTAATTTCTAAAACTTTTAAGAGTTACAAAAAGAAAAGATAAATTTCCTCCAATAGCGTGTCACCGTAAGTGTAATTAAAGATTTACTCTTTTTTCTCCTAGAAAAGGTACTTTTTAAATCAAGTCATCTCCTTATGCAATTGTAAACAGTTTCTAGATAATTAACCTTCGGGAAATGAGTTTTTTTAGTTTTTTTTCGTCGTTGTTTGATGAGAAATATGCAAAGTCAACTCATCGACTTTGAAAGGAACAATAAAAAATCAATTAAAACAAGTTTTAAAATTCCCCTCATTATTCTACATCGAGAAGTTCTAAATTGATTATTCATTAGTTTTACGTATTATGCAAATTCTAATCTTGTGTTACTGAGACTTTTATGCACGTTCATCTTATCATTTTTAGATGTTTTAGTAATTGATCTATTTATAAGATCAAGAATTTTAACTTGATCCAAAATAAAGTTTACAGATTAATGCTAGTAGAAAAAATTTAAAAAAAAATTGATCTTTGTGCTATGTGTGTTTTTTAAAGGAATTCTAAAATTTTCCGTCTTTATCATTAAAATATTTTCTAGGTTTTTATTTATCACATTGATTGTTAAGTTAAAAATACCAAAATAAAGTTGTTTTTCTTATTTAATCATATCAATATTTAATATCAATACTTAAGTTATGACTTGTATTTATAAAATTATGTTTAAAAAGTGGATGAACAAAAAACTACTTTTTATTATTTATATAAAAGGAAATTTTATGTACGATTTATACCGTTTTGATCATAGTACTTAGCAATTAATCTTTTCTTACTCGTATAAATAACTTTTAAACTGGCTTATTAAAAAAAGGAGATAAAATGCTTCTAATATATATATATATATATACATGTATGTATGTATCAATTTTTTACCTTTACAAATTACCTCTTTCAGGAACTATGCTTTTGCTTTTTCTCTCATCATATTTTATTTAAGTATAAAAGTTTCTTTTAGAAATAAAACTTTATATTACGTTAAAAAATTAAGAATAATAAATTAAAAATAATTTATTCGAAAGTATTTCAAATAATATAACACAATAAAAAATTTTAAAATATGCCACAAATCTGCAAAATTAAAAATTCCAGAACACCAGTATCGGATTCGTAACGTAAGTAGTGTTGTCATACGTATCCTACATTGCATTGGCTTTTATTTCATCCTCATGTGCTGAGTGATACAAAAAATCGTCTTCCCCCCCCCAACTAAAAAATTCAAAATTCCACTTTTTTCAAAAATATTTTACAATAACATTTGAATCCACATTTTGATTTTTTCTACTTATATTTTCCTCAAATTGTTGAACTAAGTAAATATTGAAAAATAGTTTCTCTCTTATTTGCTGATTGAATTAAAATAAATCTTATAAAATGATTCATATTATTCATAATAAGTTCATCAATAAATTTCAGAATGTTCTTGTTAGAAAAAATACACTTTTGCTAATCCGAACTCCAAATGAAAATTGATTTCAGTATTAATTAAATTTAAGGCAAAAAGTAAATGAATAAATAAATAAATATTCGAATTGTTTTAGTTTATTTTTATTCTAATGTAATGCAAATTTTATGCTTTTTTTTCTTTATATTGTAGTTTTTACACTTTTCTGAAATTTTAGTCAAGATAATAAATTTTAGCTTAAACATGAGAAAATGTATTTTTCTTAATTAAATAATGATTGGAAAACTCTTTTATGAAATATTGAATATTTAATAAAAAGTATAAATTTCTGAAAGTATCTAATTTTTCAGTGAAAAATATAATCACTTTATGAATAACATTTATTTTTTCAAAATATTTATCGATTTGTAAATAAACTGGTGTAAAAAAATAACTCGATTCGTTGTAAAATTCCAAATAAAATGCAGGTGAGATTAAATAAAAAAGAAATTTTTTCATTTGATTTTCTGAAGAGTTGGAAGGAGTTTCTTCTTTTTTATTTCATCATGAAATCCTTATTATTTTCTTCTTTCACAAAATAAAAAAAAGTCTCGGAAATAAGATACGACGTAGTATTTTTTACATCGCTAATACTGAAATTGGGTTGAATAATTATTTGTTGAGATAAATAACCGTGAAGTCATTAAAAAAATCTCCACAGCGCAAATCTATCCTTCTTAATTTATTTTCGGTGTTTTATTTTTTATTTGTATTTTTTTTAATACACTTTTTGTTCTTTACCAAAATAAGCGTATAGTTTCTCGCGGTGGGCCGCATAGAATTACCATTACGGTCACAGAAAAAAAAAAGTGTAGCAGCAAACCTAAGCGTTCGTACAATATTTAAATAAAAGGCACTAACTGAATGAAGATAAAGAAATGAAAAAATTAAATTGAAAGAAATATAATCGAAAATAAACTAAATAAAGGTAATTCTAAGTCAAGAAGCAGCTAGTAGCATGCTTATTAAACATAATTAACTCTGAATTTCTGTTTCTTTCAATGTTTTTGTTTTATTATAAACAGTGGATTTCGGTACTATTTTAATCCTCAGGATTAGTCCTAGACAGCAAAAAGTCTCATCCTTTAGAATGATAGGTAAGCACAAAAAGAGAAGGAGCTAAATTGGAAGAAAAATTAAAGATTAATTAAGAAAAATATACATGGCTAGATTGTTAATACTTATAACATAAACCTTTTTCTATTCAATGTGGATAGTGAGGAGTTGGTATTTTGGTGTAAGTAAAGTGTCAGATAACTTAATTAAAAAGTCCAACATATACTGCTGCTTTCCGCTTAAGTATTTTTCTTGCATTGTTAGAATATTTATGTAGTAATTAGCTAACATTTGTTTCCTTACCCTTTTGCTGATGCTAAGTTTTATTCGGAATATGCAAATTTTAACTTTCTCGGGGATCTCTGGTAATTAAGCTCAGAAGGAAGAAAACTGTAATTTTTTTTAATGAAAAAAAAAGAAAAAGAATTATACCGGCGGAACACATCTTTTTTCTTGGCAAAATTCTTTTATTTCTACTGTGGTTTCATGTAGGTTGAGATGGATTAATTTTTTTATTCAAAATTTTTTTTTTCATTTTTACAGTAATAAAAGCTTTATGGTGATTTTTTTTAAATTCTTTAAATGTAGTATGTTTTTATGTGAGGAAATGATGGGGGTTAAAAAATGTTTTAAAATCATTATCTCTTAGAACTGTGATTTCATAATATGAGACTCTTACATATTTAAGTTCAAATTTGTGAATTAAAAAAATATCTCTCCCACGAATAGCAAATCCTATAAGCATTAAAGAAACATTTTGGTAAAATTCACTAAAAAGTTTTAAAAATGTACATTTCAGTAAGAATTCCGTAAGAAGTACAATTTTTTTTATAAATACAGTTATTTAGCATGTTTTATGAATTATGAATAAAAAAAATAGTTTTTACAGAACATAAAGCATATCATTAATAAATTTCTAAAAATGTAAAATTAAATTCGTCACATCTTTTTTATGACATTGCGAATTTTTTTCAACGAAAATGTAAATTGTGTAATTTTTTTTCTTCAGAAAATTAGATAGATGCATTAAATAAGGCAATAAAATTGCGGCAAACTGCTTTTAGCTAATCCATATGAAGAAAATTAAAATCTTTAATGCATAAATATATTACAAAATATATAATTTTCAAAAATAACAATTTTTTTCATTTTAAACATTTGATTAAAATTGCTTGAAAAAAATAACTATTTTGCTAATAAATCTTGATGTTTATTAAAATGCATTCAAAAATAAAAGATTAAAAGAAGAGCAAAATATAAGAATACTTAAATTTATTTATGAATCAATAATTTTATAAAGTAATTCATGTTTTAAATTTTTAAATTATTATACATTTAATTTTTGGTGCAGTGAATTTATTTTGGTTTTTCCAAAATTTATGTTTTATAGGAGTGCGGCAGGAGCAAGACCTATATGTTCGACTAATAGACCATCAAAGAAAAAAGGTAAGCCTTTTTATTCATAATTTTTTCAATAGTATTAAATTTTTCACTAAAGAAATGAACATTTTGCTATAAATGAAACAATTTTTTAATTCTACTTGTAATTATATAATTTGAAATTCTACATATTTCGCTATAAATTAAACAATTTAAAATTCTACAATTAATCCTATTCATTATTAATTAACGCTTACTACGAATTCGATTTTTGTATTACTACTAATTACTACAAATTCTACTTTCGTATTTCTGCTAAAGCCTACTACTAATTACTACAAATTCTACTCATTTCTACTAATACTACTAATTACACCATGCTCATTACTACCCATTCCATTTATTGCTGTATATTCCGCAACCTCCTCTCACCGACTCTAAGAATTCTGCATCCTTCTCGCGCCGACCATAGTGCTGACGCTAAATATTCTCAGTGGTAGACGGATCTTAGGTTAGAGTCCCCTTGACGACAGGCTAACTGTGGGTAGTTTTCCTCACCATTTAAACACAAATGTGGGTTTGTTCCATAAAAAAGTTCTCTGTGAGGGCAAAGTTTCTCCCACTACTCGATTCTGAGCAGCGATGGCTCAGGGGATAGAGCGCTTGCCTTCCAATGAGGTAAACCGGGGTTCGTTCCCGGCGATGGCTGATCGATACGAATTCCGCATCCGGCTTGTGCCGACCACAGTGCTGAAGTGAAATATCCTCAGTGGTAGAGGGATCATGGGTTAGAGTCCACTTCAGGTCCGTCGATCAGGCTAACCGTGGGAGGTTCTCGATGTATTCCTCTCCATGTAACGCAAATGCGGTGTAGTTCCATCAAAAAGTCCTACATGAAGGCAAAATTACTCCCAATACTTGATACAGGAGCTCCCTTGTCTTCTGGATTGGGTTCGAAATTATATAGCTACGGAGTTGAACGCAAATTTCAAAAATTGGGTCAGCTTTTCAGCGACTGTTATAGAACAAAAATGAAATATACACTCCACTTATTACTACTAAATCTACTTATTGCTTCTAAATCTACTTATTACTGCTCATTCTACTTATCACTACTGACTTATTAATTTTAACTATTAACAATCACATGAAACTTAATATAATTCATATAATTCCGTGCTACTACACATAAAAGGACACGTTTAGCTGATTACAATAGAAAAAATAAATTTAAATTTTAAAATTATTCAAATGCTTAGGAAGGGTTAAAGCGGGGAATCAATTCTTAAATAGGGCAGACAATTCACTTTTACTATCGAAAAGATCTCACTTGATCGCCATTAATCAATTTCCTTATGGGGAGGAGGACTGCAACTGTGGGGAGTCATTCATTTGCATACCAATATGGCCTCCCTTTATCCCTTATCGTGCAATATGTTATGTATTTATATTCTAACTTTTTAAAATAAAAAATGACTGTACAAATATCGTTTAAATTTATTACTTTCTTTTTTTTACATTTTGAATTATTATAAGTTTTAAGCGTTGTCTAATTAAAAATTAAGCTTTTATTTTCTTGATTTTTAAAATATGGGTAAATTTTACTTATTCCTGTAAAAATGTCTGATATAATCAAGCTAAATTATACCTTGCAAAGAAATCTTGACCTTTTGTCAAATGCAGACTCTCAGTTGGAATTTATTTATTTCTAAATTAATATTTGTACTACATATGAATTTATGCTCTAGGTTTAAAAATCGCAAATGAAATATAGAACTTTAAATTTAAGCTCTGATTTCAATATACCAAAAATAGTACAATTTACAGTTCAAACGGAGCAATTTTAAGAGTATATATGCAGGCATATGCGTTTATTTGTATGAAAGTTTGTACGTCTATTAATCTAAGATTCTTAAAATATTGTAATATTTTTGCATGTGTTCTGCTTTTGTTTAGCTTTTAGATTTCAGATCAGCATTCATGTTTATTTCATAAAAAATGTGTGCATTTACAGTTGACCACAAGACAATTTCGAAAAAATAAAGCCTCCTAAGAAGTCACAAATCTGAGATAATTTTCCTGCATGGGTACTTGTGGGAATGTTAAACATTTTTAAGACATATGAAAAAGAGTTACTTTCAGTTACAGAAAATAATTTAAAGAATCAAATTGGGGCAACCTTGGTGAGACTGACACAGTAATAATCATGCTTTTACGAACTCATTTCAGTTACAGTAAATAGTACAGAAAAACTAATTAAAATTGCGAACAATCTTTGTGAAACATAATAGAGATGCTTTTCATCACCTCATCCAAATAAATCAATTTAATCGGTAAAAAAATTTATTTCACATAATTCCTTATTTCAGAGAGCAATTGTTTAACATCATATGCAAGTTGCATCATGTACAATGTGTAATTGTATTTATGCTTATAAGCAAATATATTAAAAAAACTTTGCTGCAGGAGCTTTTCATAGAGAGAAAATAATTAAAAAACTTAATTACTAAAGCTATTTGTATTCCATCTAAATTAATAATCTAAGCAAGCCAATAATCTAAACAAATCATCGTGATACTTTTTACCATCTCGTCAAAATAAATCGATTCAACTTTGCTAAAAGATGAAAAATAATCTTATATAACCTATTATTGCAGAAAATAATGCTTAGATATCATAATACTAGTCGAATTACGCTTCGTTGTGTTTATGTTCGATTGTAAATTAGAAATATTTCTTTCAAGTAGTTAAATATAGCGCTTTCAGCTACAGTAAATGATTAAGAAATGATTAAGAAGTAATTAAAATTTCTAATGATCTTGGTAAGTCATCTAAATCAATCATCATACTTTTTACCACCTTGTCCAAATAAATAAATTAAGTAATTGGTTTAAATGGTGTTTAAATGGTAATTTCATATTATGCCTTTTTCCGGAAGCAATACGTAAATATTATGCAACAGACGAAATGTGCATCATTATATGATTGATTACATGCTCACTTGTAAGTCAAATAATTTATATTATAAATCGTTTTTCAGTAAGTAATTTAAAAAACCAAATTTCAAGGAATCTTAGGCGCCCTTTAAATAAATCATCATACTTTTTACCATCTCGTCCGAATAAATCGATTTAATTGGTTTAAATGTTCATTTCATCAATTTTTACCGAAAACAATACTTAAACGCTATATAACAAATGAATTTATGTTATATAACAAACGAATTACGAATCATTGTATAATTGAGTGCATGCTCACTTGTGAAGCAAATATTTTTTTTAAAATCATTTTTAATGCGAGTCAATAATTTAGAAAACCGAATTTTAAAATATCTTACAGCAATAATAAATTATAATACTTTTTACCATCCAGTTCAAATAAATTGATTTAATTGACTTAAATGGTAGTTTCCTATAATGCTTTTTTACCGAAAACAATAATTAAGTGCTACATAGCAAATTAATTAAGTATCATTATTTGATTAAGGACATGCTCACTTCTGAAAAAAATTGTATTTTAACATTCATTTTTCTGCTATAGTAAATATTTAGAAAATCTAATTTCAAAAGATCATGGGGTTCCATCTAAATCAATTATCATAATTCTTACCACTAGTCTAAATAAATTGATTTAATTGGTGAGCAGTCAACTTAATTGGTTTAAATCGTAATTTCATACACTGTTCATTTTTTTTTACCAAAACAATACTTAAATGCTACATAACAGGCAAATTATGTGTATCATTGCTTGATTGAGGACATCTCAGTTAGAAGGCAAATATTATATTTAAAAATCGTTTTTCAGCTAGATTAAATTTCGGAAACCAAATTCAAAGGATCTTAGTGCGCCATCCAAATAAATTATCATACTTCATACCATTTCGTACCAATTTGAATAATCCAAATCCAAATCCAAATAATAATGATAATCCAAATAAATTGATTGATATATAACAGACGAATTATGCATCATTGTTTGATTGAGTACTTTCTCACTTGTAAAGTAAATATTATATTTTAAAGCTCGTTCTTCAGCTAGAGTAAATAACTTGCGAAACCTAATTGGGAAGAATCTTGGCGTGCCATCTAAACCAATCAACATGATACTTTTACGATCTCACCTAAAGAAATCATTTTAATCGGCAGAAAGGCACCTGAAAGTTAATTTCGTAAAATGCGTTATTACAGAGAGCAATACTCAAATATATCAGTGGAAAAAGCTAAAAAAAAATGCCATCAACCTCCTCTAGATCTAACCTTATGGTCTTTTTTTTTTCTTTTTGTGTCCCTTATAAAAGGGGTGTTGTAGAGAGGGGGTAGTTGTTTGCAAAAGCACTGTTGAGTGCAGTCAACCAGCGATTCTCTTTGCAGTGGAGAAAACTCGACGAAGTCAGTCTGTGGCTGCTCTTAACGATATTGAAGCGATTCACGACATAGGGATCCATCCATTACATGGATCCCTGGTTTCCCCTCCCCATACAACTCAGCCCTTCCGCACATGGGTTCACATTTTTATTTTTCTTTCCCATCCCTCGACTTCTCTTATTCTTTGTTTTTTTGTCAAAAAATACTTTCCTATTCCAAATCAGACTGTGTCGAGGTTGTGTTTTTCTTAGAATTTTATACTCACCTAAATGTCTTCATTCAAACAAAATAACAACCACAGCAGTTAAGGTTTGATTAATAACATTTTTAATAGTATTAATTGAGCACATTTTAGGATTATAATACTTGACAAAAAATAAGTTTCTCAAAATTTATAAAATTTTATTCGTTTGTTGACATAACCGTTACACGGGAAATGCTCCGAGTTAACATTTTGTCAAATTAGGATAAGTATTATATTCAATTGTTGTTCGTCAAAAAACAAAAACAACAGTAAAAAATTCATAATAAATGCACATTTTAACCCAACTAATTTTTTTCTTTTAAAAACACTTCCTTATGTTTAATTAAACTGTGGTTAGGTTTGATTAACATTTTAATCGTATTGATTGATCAGCATTTTAGGATTATTATACACTGCAGAAATCGGAAACTTAAAGTTCACGAAATTCTCTTTGTTTG